GCATGTTGATGCCTTCAACAGACTCTCTGTTTACAACGGCCCTCCCAACTTCCTCTTCCCCTCTGTAAAAAGTTTCCGTCAGTTTGCTGCTGGGGACTTGCACAGTGGCTTGCCGTGGTTGCAAATCTTGAAATGCAATTTTTTGCTGATCCCAAATAAACCCACTGTTGCTGGAGAAATAAGTAGCTATTTCTTTAAGGTCAACAGTCTCCATTAAGAAGCTTATATCTATAAATTTTCATCTTTCATCAAATTGGGAAAAATATCAGACATTATGTCTTCAAATATTTTCTGCCCCATTTTTTCTCTCTGCTGCTTCTGAAATTCCAATTACATATATATTGAGCTGTGTAATATTATCTAACAATTTCCTTAGGTTCTGTTCATATTTTTCAGTCATTTTTATCTGTTCTTCACTTCTACTGATCTATATTCAAGTTCATTTACTCTTTCCTCTGAATCTCTGATTACTGATTATAATTGTATTCAGTGAATTTTTCATTTCAGATATTCTTTCACTTTTTTAGTTGTAGAATTTCCATTTGGTTCTTTTTTATTGTTTCTGTCTCTCAGCTCAGGTAGTCTACCTTTTTATTCACTTCAAGCATATGCTATCTTACTTCATTTAGGGCAGTTCAAATAGCATATTTAAAGTACTTTTCTGCTAATTCCAATTTCTTACTCATTGCACTGTTGCAATAAGTTTATTGCCTTTTCTCTTAAAAATGTATTCTATTTTCTTCGTTCTTTGTATGTCAAGTAATTTTCAATTGCATCCTACATACTATAAATGTTTAATTGTAGGGAATCTAAGTAGTTTGTTTTGTTTTTTGATGAGTGTTGTAATTTTTGTTTCAATAGACAATTAACTTTGCAGCATTTGAATAGCAAATTCTATTTCTTGGGCAGCAGCTCCAGTGTCAGTTCAAATCTTTTATCTTTAGCTAAAATTCTTTAGTCTTTTCTGCAAATACCTTGTCCAGGAAACAGCAATAGATATGGGCAGACCAAATTTTGGGATGGTTTCTATGGATGTTTTCCTTCCAATATTTCCTTAGTCTCTTAAGTCATCATGGTTTCCCCAGCTACATTTTTTTCCTGATGTTGCAGGCCAAAAAAGCTGCATATTGTCAATTGTGTCTTCCACTCTGACTGCACTTAGCTCCAGGCCAACAGCTGCAGACAAAAGTTTGTCTCATCCACCTCCCTTCCATCAGGATCTGTCTAGTTATGATCACTCTTCAGTGTCTTCAGGAATGTTTTTATTATGTTTGCATTTTATAGTTGTTTTCTATGGGAAAAAGGTGTTGGTAGGGCCTTTAGACAATCATCACCAAAAGTTGAAGTTCATCCACATATAATTTATTTTAGATTAAGCTCTTTCTGCAAGTTAAACAGTGTGTAGTTTATATATAGCAACACATTTAACACATACCACATTTCTGTAGTATGGGTGTATTAATCCCATTTTCTAGATGAGGAAACTGAGTCTCAGCTAAGGCGACTTGCTGAAAACCATACATCTAATAAGAGTTAGAGATGGACTTGAAACTTTAAGTGCTCTGAATCCACTATTTATGTTCTCACATTTCACTGTTAAGTGCTGGCCAATATTCTAGCTGACACCCTAACGTAGATGTTATTCAATACATGGGACATATGTGTAATAACAAAGTAAAAAGTTATGATTCTCATTTATAATGATAGAACTTGAGGTGTTAAGTGAATTAGTGTTGTTCTTGTATATACAGGTTGGAAATTGTGTTCCTCTAAACTTTCAGAAGGAAAGCATATTTCTATTGGTTTATATGAAAATGGTAATGAGGCAATTTTCATTCTGTTAGGGTAAACTATTTAATTACACAGAAATTCTTTATATTGTAACTAGCTAAACCTACTCATTCTGAAGAGAGCAATTATTATCTGTAACTATTTTCTTTGGCATATGTTATTTCTTTGCAGACAAGCAATAAGGTGGACAGAGCCAAACAATGTCCTCATCCTCAACAAAGAAAAGTTCTTGACTAGCCAGTAGCTCTCAGTGTTCTTGAACCTACATTAGTATGCAAATAGTAACCAGCACATTGACAAGGCAGAGTCAGGACTGAAATTGAAGGGTCAAATCCTGCTTGATTCCAGGAACCAGTCATCACAGAAAAACAGTTGTGAGTGAAGCTTCCCGAAGGCATATATTATACCTGGACCTTATGACTGCATGATTTAAACAAAATTACTCATTTTGATGAAACACTTCATCATTGCTGACTCTACTATTCTCAAAAAAACTATTACTTTGGTAATAATGAGAAACTTCTTTCAATATATATTCTAATCTCAAGAATTTAGTAGTGTTGGTAAAAATGAAAAGCAATATCATTAAATAAGTAGGAATGATGTTCAGTATAAATACAGTTTTATGAGAGATGCCAAATAAACACTACTTGAGATGAAATATATTTAGTAAGTTAACTAATGTAAGTATTAAAGACAACTATAAAAAATGCTGGAATTGTGGTAGTAATTTCTACTTTAAGATGATATGTGGTAATATTTTTCCTGTAGTAGACAGGTTTAATTTTTGGACAGATCCGAAGTTTGGCAACACTCTCAATACCACCTCCTCCGTCCATCTCCCTCCTTCTTGGCAACACTCGGTTCCCTGCTATCACATCTCAAACTTTACGACAAAATAATTTCCTTATTTTGGAGGATACCTGGCTTTTCAAGATCTGCATTTGAAGCTGGATGATAGGCTTATAGCCCTAAAAATTTTCATCTCTTAAGTAAAACCCTGTGCAGAATATTCATTTTTATTATTTCCCCTGATCATCTGCAAATGTTCCATTTTCAGAGAAGATAAAATGAGAATCTCATGCTCCCTATTCTGTGAGGCCAAATAAATTCTCACCACAGGACAATGTAGATGCTCATTCAATTTTATTATTATTATGTTTTAATCCATGATGGAGATTCAGGGAGCAGCTTATTTTAGTCAAACAATGTTCTGACATGCTAGTGTCAATTTTCTAGTCTCATCCACCAGTAAAGATCACAAATCTGCTTCACTCTGCTTTATCTACTATTCTTCTCTCTAGGTTTTGGTTTGCATAATATAACCAATATAGAAAGAAAATGTATATTACATTTTTACGTAATAAATATATTATACCTCCAAAAGGGTATATATACATGCAGTCCAATAATAACGCAAACAACCCCGTATCTACCACCCAGTTTAAGAAATACAATGTAACAGTAAGTTGAATTCCTGTGTGACCCCCTCCCCATAGATTAACGTCATCCTGAATTTTTGGCTTATCATTTTCTTGCTTTTTAAATAAATAATTTTACCATCTTAAATACACATATATTTCAAAACAGTTCAATTTTGCACAGTTTTTTTAGAGCAGGCATTTGAAACACTTTCTGTTTTACACCCAGAGCTCAGGTGAAAACTGACCAGTCTGGCTTTACTTAGAGATACTTTTTCTACCTCATCCTTTCATTGAGGGTTAAGCTTTCTGAGTGTTCTAATTCTATGAGAGAGTCTCAGTTACAACTTCACACTTGATGTGGACCCAAGAGCTCATCTCTTGTACCCTGTGTAGTCAGTAGAGGAACTGACTGACAACAGGAAAAGGAACACCTAGCAACAGGGAAAACTCACAGAAGTGGTTTCAGCGCCTTATTACCCCACTGATATTCAGGCCCCTCTTTGTTTTGAGACTTGTATATTTTCCTAAAGTTTTTGAATGCTCAACTACATATTTAAAGTTATCTTCTGGTATTTATTCAGAATTCTTAGATCTTTTGTGGTGGGAATATTTTTCTTTTGGAATTCCTAGTCCATCATATTGCCTGAGTGGGATATCAATAAGTATTTATCAATCAGGAGGTCGGACCCCCACTTTTGATCATGAAAATGCCATCAGTGCTTTGCAAGAGAAAAAAAATAGTCTTACTTTTCCTACAGCTCTGGCTGGGACGAACCACACTGCCTCACATCCTGCCTTCCTTTTACTCATTTTCCTTTTCTACTTGTCTCCACATGATTATATTCAGATATATCAGACTGACATCTCCCCTACACACACACACACACAGTATACTCACCCATACTCTGATTTTAATACTGTCTCTGTCTTTATTAGCTACATGGGAATCTGAGTATGCTGTCCAACCCATACAAACCTAGGTAGCCTCTTCTGGAAAATGAGGAGGAATGGAGCTGGAGGTGAGGAGTTGTTAGGCAGATGTCAAGTTTCAGACGGATGGGTGGCCAGTTCTGGGGACTGTTGAATGGAAATGTGCGTGTAATTGACAATATTATACTGTACACTTGGAAATTGTTGGAAGGGGGAATTTTATGTTATGTGGGTCTTTTGCCACAGTAAATAAATATAAATAAATTTAACAAATGAAGAATAAGCCTTAAATAATTTCTGAGAATCTTTTCGAATGTAATAATCACTGAATCTATAAATCCAACTATGCTTTGGCATTGAACAAGTTTAAAATTAAGCTTCATATGATCCTACAACTTACATAAGTTTGCACCCAATAGCTCCTCAATCAATATTTGTTCTTAGGAGCCTTGATGAGTGAGAAGCATAGCATCTTGTAAGCAGAAGTGTTGAAACAGCTTTTTATGCCCCCTTTGTGGCATATCCCAAGTTGAAATGCTTCTGCTCAAATCCAGAAGCTGCTTCCTTGGAAAATTTTATTTTAAACCCTTTACTTAGAGATATCTTAATCTGATGAATCAACTAATAACCTCCAGGCCCTGGATTCTGAGTTGGGCTGGGTCTGTCACACATGAATAAACTGATTGCATAAGAATAAAAGACAGTCTGTTCAATAGGATGCTAAGGATATGAGAAAGAAATATTTATGGAAGGAAAGTGTAAAATACTGGGACATGTGCGAACCCAGAAAATCTGTCTGTGTAAACTACACCATTATTTAGCAAACAAACTACCCAGTTTTAGTGATCAACGTACCTCTGGAGCATTTTGATTATTCATTTTCCCGCAAAGTTGTTGCTCAGTGGAACCCTCACATGTCTTCCCAGCGGGAGATCTCTTCCCTTTCATCTCTTGCTCTCCATTAGCTGAATCTCTCCACGATGGTGGCAGGGCTCTGAGCAGGCCAAGGCCAACGTCTCTGAGTGCTCAAACAGATCCTTCGGGCTGCAGCTCCTTGCCCCCTCCTGTGAGGCAGCACTCCATCCAGCACAACAGCAGCCAAATGGAAAGTGGGAAAACGCAATATTCTTTGGCAGAAGCAGCAGCGCACTCACTGCCAGATCTTATGAATTCATGTCAGTGAAGACTGGCATCTCTTAAAATTCTCCAAACAAATGAAAAGGAAAAACCAAGCTGCATTTGCATGCAGAACATATTCAGTCCAGACGACTGCTAATTTTCTTCCAAGATTCGAGACCCGTGATTCTGCAATCTTGTAAATCAGCTCCTTGTCACATTTCTTTTTCTCTGCTGTATCTCCTTGTTATTCCATTGGCAGAGGTGAACTATATTTTGCTTTCTTAAGAGGCTACTCTCCTAAAATTGATGGCCATACAGAGAGATATATGGTAATGAACTTACAACAGGGATGTGTTCTAAGACCATCACTGGAATAAGGCTTTCAGTAAAACACAGGTCTGAGTGAGAAAGCCTCCATTAATAGACAGACACGGGCTACCCAACGCTGGCTCTTGTGTGCTTCTGCTCTTGCCGTTAAAGATTTCAGAGCCAGGCTACAGTTAGTACAGTGCCTGAAAACTGCACGGCCCTGTCCAGAGGCCCACTGCACACGAGAGCCTCTGCATTAACTTTTCACAGAAACGTGATTAGCACTCAGCTTTCTCCTCCGATTACACACTGGGTCTCTATGGAGCAAAGTGGTCAATTAGATAAACCCAGGAATCCCAAGCCAAGATAAATTAAGCCAAAGTTTAAGAGATAGGTTATAGAAAATGATCATTATTTTTGCTGAAAGGAAAAATGGTCATAGTTATGTTAATTTAATCAAATGCCTTAATAACCAGACTGTCTGAGAAAAGTTCATGTAAAATATAATGACCTGATAAGGTACTTGTATGAGAATGACAGATGTCAGAAAATAAAATATATCAAGTAGAAATAATTTCCATGTCATTAATATCTTGGCTTTTGTCATTGATGCTAAAATATTTCTACCAAACAGGATAGGATATTTTGTTTTGAGATTTTTACTGAAAATATTTTTGAAATACTTGAATATACTTTGAGATTTTACTGAAAAATGTCTTGTTTATTTCAAATATTTGCACAACTTTCTAATTTTTCAACCTATTCTTAAGGCGAATACTTCTTAAATGCTTATTTTAAAGGTAAATCACAAATATTTTACTGAGTGTTCTATAGGTATGAACAGCACCACACTAGGCACTATGGGGAGATAATGAAGGATAAGACATAATTTCTAATGTTAATGAGCATTACTACTATGTTCGCAGTAGAAGAGAAGAGCACCCTATGGGTGGCCAGCGTCGGAAGGACAATTAATTGGAGGGATCTGGCAAGTTCAGAATTTCTGTAAACAAAGGCAAATTCAGATGAAGGGCATAAGAGCTGGGTCTTGCTATGTATAAATTATTATCTTTCTCATAAGTCTCACTCTAATCATGTACAAAATGTAAGAAGTGGTTTTAAATTTTAGTACATGATTGTGTAGCTGAACATGTGTTTGGAGTTCCCAAAATCTACATAACATATTAGTTTTTATTTCATAACACTCCCCTAGAGTCCCACATAAGAGGGGGAGAAAAATGCCATCAAATATTATAGTGCCTTTCCAGTTATTATACCCATTTTTTAGATCTACTGTAGTAATTTGTGCCTTTATTAAAAAGATGCTGCATCTTCAAGACTCATGCCATTCAGCTCTGCTACCTTCTATTCTTCCTTGTCACAGTCATGTCTGTATTTGTTACCTTTTGCTGCATAACAAACTGACCTAAAACTTAGTGGCTTAAAACAACAATCATTTACTCAACTTGTAATTCTACAGGACAGCAATTTGCTCAGCTAGCTGTTCTTCTGGTCTCAGCTGGACTCATTCTTGCTGCCCAGTTGACTATGGGATGGCTAGACTAGGATGATCCCAGATGGAACATTATATTTCTGCTCCACCTCGCCTCTTACCCTCCAGCAGGTTAGCTTGGACTGGTTCACATGGCGGCTGGAAGAACTACAAGAGAACAAGTGGATGCATTCAAGAGTTTTTAAGCCTAGGCTCCAAACTGGCAAACATCTTTTCCACTACATTCTATACATCCGCTGACACAAGTTATGTGACCAACACACATTAAAGGGGAAGAGAGTAGATTTCTCTTCTTGGTGGGAAGACTCAAAGGATTATCATTGCCAATGATGTGGATACAGGGGAAAATGGAGGATTGTAGTCATGTTTGCAAGCTCTCTCACCTTCTGATCTTCTGGTTCTTTCTCTTCAGTCACTAAAGACTTTTCTTGAAATCATGGTCCACATCATGTCCCCATGATCATCCATCATTCTTACTGACTTCAAGATCTCCATAGAGCACTCTAGCTTCCCAGGGTCTTAACCTCTTCTTCACCAAAAAGCTTCCCCTCCATGCCGTATTGGTCACATGTTGCTTTGCCCCACCAGGACCTGGTCTACACTGCAACAGATCTACCTTGGGAATACTAGAAGAAAACAGTCCATTTCCTGACATAATCTCAATCCTTTTGGATCTCATCGTGACCTGACCCTTGTTCATTGACATTCTTGGCCTTTCTTCTAGGCCTCTAACCCTTCTCCTTGTATGTCAGCTCCTTTCCGATTCACTTTCTGTATTGCTTATATTCTATGCTAAATTGTTTTAATCACTCTCCTGGTTATATCTTTAACTTCTATTCAAAAATACTTCTGTGCAATCTTGAAGTTTAGATGCTGTTCCTTAAAGAACAACAAAGGGCCACAACCAAACCCAATACTCAGCAGGACATTAGAGAAAAACTAGACCTGCAAAGCCACACATCTAAAAATGGGACCTATGCAGATTTAGCCCTGGCCTGCTTTGCAGCTCACATTCATTGACCTCTGCCACAGTGGTTGTTATTGTTCTGGAGCATATGGAGTCCTTACATGTGTTCCTCATTTATTTTGGTGTTTTAGCTCACGCCAGGACATTAGCAAAGCAAAGGAAGACTAAGCATATTTACAAAGAGACATAGAAAAGAACCTTTTTTCCATGAGCTTTTGGCAAATAAACTTGAAACTGCCCTAGGAAAACTTGATGGTTTCCACTCCACCCTGCTGAGCCTCCTACCATCCTGATCTTTTCTTACCCACCTGGAGAAGGCTGGAAGAGCACAGGAAATCCTTAGATATTTCCTGAGCCAGTAGTCATTTTAACTTCTCAGAAATAGAGGAACAAAATACTAACAACCTCTAAAAAACCATAAACACTGAAAATGAGTTTCTATTCATTGAGGCCAAGTGGTAAAATGTGGCATTTGTTTAAGAGGGACAGAATGAGTGCCCAAGTCACATTACCCAAAATTGAACATGTTGAAATCCTCAGACTGGGGAAACTTTCTGGTTACACAAGTGCAAAACCTCCTTGTAGGGAATGTACTTCACTTTCTCCTCCTCTAAAGATAACTGCTACCAGGAGCTCATTTCACTTTAAAAAATAAATACACTGTGTTCTTTTACGTCAAACTTCACAATTTTACTTCAAATTGTTTGTAGACAAATAGAGCACTTAAGACAGAGGAGGACACTTAGGCTCATGAAAATGATCCTTTTATTCAGTTCATAGTGCTAATAAACTTTATACTCAACTTGAACCCAAATCTTCCAGCAGCTGCTTCAGCATTCTCTTCCCTGTGCTACAAGACCAGGACTAATCCAGTTACATGTCACTTTCTAATATACCTGTTTTCTTTTATTGTATTGCTCTTCTTGGTAGATGAAAACCTAAACATCAGTCTAAAACAAACCAAATCGACAAACAAAATAAAATAAAGCTATATTCTTCTCTCACTCTACTGTCATTTTCCCTTTGTTATGTGGTAGTTTTTAACTTATGCATTCTGAATTTATGCATTTAATTTATGCAGCCTCTGAAACAGACAGTCTGAAAGAGAAATGATCGTTGATGAGTGCTCACTGCATCATCCTTTGATGAGAGACTCATCAAAGGGTGAGTGACAGAATTTCAGAAATATATCCTTTTTAAATTAGCTATAATGTGGCCAACAAATGAGTGTCCAATAATGAATAGAAGAGGAATATTACAGGCAATCACTAGCTTAGAAATGGGCTGCAATATAAACCTTTGTGTTTTAATTAGCTCTTTTAAACAGAAAAGTTTTATTTTTTTCAAATTAAGAATCTTTTCAATCATAGTAGTTCCCAAGATCAACCTTGGAATGTTGTCCACAGTGATGGGCAATATTGAAGCCAAACTCTGATTAGTGGGGTGGCAATTTTTTAAATCTGGTCCATGTACCACTTATATTATAATTACTTGCAGATGGAGTTGCAAAAGGCGACTCCTGGACCAATAGCAGACTGACCAGATCACAACTTCCTTGTGATAAAGCCCAGTGTGTGTGCAGGGGAGGGTAGGGGTAGGCATGTGGGGTGGGGTGAGAAGAGATGATGTATCTCAGGAGAAATCCTTGTCAGAGAAAGTGAGGAAAACCAGCCACTTGTAGCATCGCTCTAGGTCATTTGTGTCTCAAATATTGTTAGGATTTTTTCAGAGAGTGGGGTTGGTAAGTTTAAAAGAATCTTGCCTCCCAGTCACACAAAGGATGCATTTGTAGTTTGAATATTCATAATTTATGTGTTCCCTTTGCATGGAAATCTTAGTATCTTTTAAGGAGCACATCTAAGTCCTTCAATACTAATCACTACTGCATTATACACATTTAGAATCTGGGTTTTAACATGCATAAGGAACTTATAGGTATAAAATTTTGAATTGCAGGTCCTCAAAAGAAACATGGCTATGGGCTCTAAATAACCCTGAAAGGAAACTAGTACTTGACTTGGAAATAATGCCTCAGACAACCTCAAGCTTGGGGCAAGGAAGGAAATTTTCCACTGGCACAACCAGTTTTCCAAATTCTTTCCTGTTTATGCACCCCTATCATTCCAAACCGGCCCCCACCTCAACAATGTCAGCTTTATTAGAGAAAATCAAAATGTGAATTTGAATCATAATTTAAAACATTAAGTAGTTGCAGAAAACAAGGATACTGCGGACTCTATTATAGCAACCAAAAAGATCATCCTGAGAGAATATAGGAATTAGAGAATGGAGGTTATCTGCTTATAATTAGAAGTGGTAAAAACCATTAAATGTAAATTAATATTTTTATTGGTGAGAAAAGTGAGTTTCAAAAAGGTGATTTTGTTAAACTACGAATAATACAATTCCTTAGTGGCATAATTGATTTTTAGACCATAGACTTTTAGTAAATGGTAGTCTTTAGGCATGTGAAGATATCTAGTAAATAATTATTTGTGTTTTGGGAAGATATAAAGATAGCACAAAAAAACATTAATTAGGAGAAGAGCGATCTCTTAATTTACAATCCACTTCTGATCACTTGAGAGTGAAAGGAACAATAATTAAAATTGCTTAT